CCAAACTGTCAGGGATGAAAAACAAACTCTTGGAGAAAAGAAAACCTAATAACAGAAAATACTGGAAGACCAAATGAACCTCATTGGCCTAAATCAGAGGACTAGAATAATCAGATAACTCAAGAATTATTTCTGCTCTGTGTTTACTAGAAATCAACCGATATGGGTTTTTTGTTTGGAATCCAGAGCCACCAATGACCGATGATATTTAGGGCCAGTTTAGATAAATGATGTAATTGAAATTTACTATATATACACTCAATGCTCTTTTTTAACACAACCCTTTAAGAGAGCTGTTTTGTACAGATATCTCTTTGCAATAAACTGTTCAAATACAGCTTTATATATTTTATTTTATTATATTATGTATCAGCCAACCGTTGTATTGGTCTGTCTTTGTATATGCACAACAGAAATCTGATCAGCAAAAACTCCTGGTGACATGTCAGTTAAAGTATTACATTTGTTTGGAGTATTTCTGTTGCTAAAAGGGCTGTAGTAAGTCTTTAGTGGATTAAACCTGTAGTTTTCCAGTGCATGTGTTTTATTACTGGTGTAAAAGTGTAAATGCAGAAATAATTCCCGTGCATGGCGACACACTGAAAGCAGAGCTGCCAGTCAAACAGGAAGTGTACAGGAAACAGAACAAGGGCAGTTCATCAGGTGCTACTGGTTTCTTGTTAAATGAGTGTCATTCATATTATACAGATATGGGTCTGGTCAAGCAGTAACGGAGGGAAACAGGGGCAGATTTTTGACATTCAAATAGCTCTTATTGAGAAACTAGAGGGACTATTGAAATAAGTAAAGTATCAGAATGTAGGAAAGAGTTACACTCCAACAGGGTCAAGTTAAACCTGTGATATTCTTTCAAGTTGTTGACAAAAAATGAATAAACTCATGTCAGTAACGGAGGGAATGAAATATGCAGCACTTTTTGGTCAATAAATCCAAACAGTGATAACTCTTGGTTCTCACTTCCATATCCTTAACAAACTGGTTTGAATATTTGCTTCATATAGTTTTCTACCATATGGTACAAGATTAGGTTGAAAAACCTCTTACTTTTTGAGTAAAGAGATTTTTTATTAAGAAAGGTCATGGTAACGGAGGGAAAAGTAACGGAGGGAAAATTGTGCAAACAAGTAGAAGGTGCAGGATTTTACATCATTTGTCAACTTTTTTCTTCTGAATACTTTAATATTACTTCAAAATGAAAGGAAACTATTTCTATAAAATATGTCAGTCCTTCCAAGCAAATTTTTATCATTTTAAATACTTTTTTTTTTTTTTAATCATGTCCCTTCATCAACAGTTCAAAGATGGAATAACACAAGATATGATGAAATACATCCATTTATTGACATGATTTGCAGGTCTTTGAAATTTGGGAAATAATTTTTGTTCCATGTTTCATACATGGTCTGTTTAAAACATATGGAACTTTAGAACCAAAAATGGTACAGAAAAAAGGTGAGTACATATGCTATCTGTTCAATACATTTTTATATCAGATGAGATGAGATTTTAATTTTACTTTTAATTTCTTGGACCACTGCTTTGTATTTGTACTTGAGTAATATTTTTTGAAGTACCAGTAGTCTGTTTTATAGTCTATCTCTCATTGCCTATTAGATTTAAACCCAAAACCATTAGTCACTCTGATCTTCTGGGCTGCGCGCTCTGTCTCGTCTCCCTGGTGGTGGACTTCTGGACTTTTAAATCATGGATTCATTACTTGGATTTGGGCCGGTAATACTGATGAAGAGGATGACACAGCTGCAGCGTGTCAAGAGCCGCGGGGCCCCAGGGCAGTGCCGGTGGTGCGGGTGGTGAGTGTGTGTGTTGTCGGCAGCAGGAGTAGAGAGTATAGCTGTCAGGGAGCAGACAGGAGCAGACAGGAGCAGACTGCAGACCCATCATGGCTCCTGTGGCACAGATCCAACCCGGGCGACCGCTGACAGATGCCGCGTCAGCCCTGTGTCCACTGTGCCGCTGGTTTGAGTGCTGAGACAGGCTTTAGGGATAATAAGAACATTGTGAACAGAATGTGGAGTTTGTGTTGCTGTGATGGAGCAGTTCGGTGATTCTCAAAGTGTGGGGCGGTCCGGACACGTTTCAGATGAGTCATCATGTTCCAGACAAACTCCAGAATGTCCACTCTGGTCAGATCTCAGAAGCCGGACAGAGTTGGGCCTGGTCAGTCTCCGCCCTGTAGCTCTGGCACTGAAACTTGCCATGGACTTACCAACTTTACTTGTTTTCTTGCAACCGCTAAAATGGATAACAGTTGGAGACCTGTGCTCTAAGGCATATTGTTGTTGTGTCCTTTGGTAAGACACTTCACTCCACTTGTCGGTAACACTTTATAATAACTACACCTTACTTAGCCTTAATAAAGCATGAACAAAGACTTAATTAATAATGAACAAAGATTTAATTAACAATGATTCACGCTTAGTAAATGCTTAATAAAGCATAATTAGTCTTCACTTTAGAAAAGCTCTCAGAAAGACTTAACTAACAGATAACAGCTGCCTGAATTATCATTGCATTACATTATTAGTAAATCATTCTCTCATAGTTTACTAATGATTAATAAATGCTCAAATGGTTAGTCCATGAGTAATTAAGTATGAAATAATTATGAGTAACTATTTACAGCACAGGCAAATTAAGTGCAAGTGCTAATTAAGGTAGTAATTAAGTAGTTACTAAGCGTGAATCATTATTAATTAAGTCTTTGTTCATAATTAATTAAGTGTTTGTTCATGCTTTATTAAGGCTAAATAAGGTGTAGTTATTATAAAGTGTTACTCACTTGTCTAGTATGAATGTGGTGGATCAATGGGAATATGAGATTGGCCTATAATGAGACAGATTTTCCTCTTATACTTTTTTGTATGTCAATTAGTAAACTAAAAGTGGACTAAAAAACATGCGTCCTTACTCGCATCTCCACAAACCTGACTCTTATTTGTCCTGGGGGAGGACCTGCTTCTGCTTGTTTCCATGGAAATGTTGTTCCTTTGGCTAGAATATTCCACCTTATAAAACTTATCTGTCTCCTTGAAGAATGTTCCAAAATATAGTTTCACTTTCGATTTCCATTTCTACCTCCAGGACGTGTGTTATGCTGTGCAACATTTCAGGCAGAGCAATAACAAACTCAGAGTGCAATGCCATTTGTATCATATTTGATACACAACATTCTGAGACTTCTGCCCCACCCACATACATTTTTTTTTTTCCCTGAAAAACCTGTTGTATACACTGGGGGCATGACTTTCTGTGTTTTTGGAGGAACAACTTTATACATTTTGAAAAGATTAGTGTAAGAATTGCCTAAATATTCATAGTGATTCTTCAATATGAACATTTACTTTCTTAGATTAATCTATGAAGTCTTCATATTTTTATTTTTATTTTGTAGAAAAATCTGGTTAAAATTGTCAGTCCTCATCCATCACTATATTGTATTTTATGATGCAATCTGCATAATTCATGTAATTCCATGCAAATTTAACGTCACTATTTTTAGTATTTCATAACCAAGATGTCACCTTAAAAATATGTTTTCAGTTGTTATTGTTTTTGTTATTATTGTTATTATTATTATTATTATTAGTAGTAGTAGTAGTAGTAGTAGTAGTAGTAGTAGTAGTAGTAGTAGTAGTAGTAGTAGTAGTAGTAGTAGTAGTAGTAGTAGTAGTAGTAGTAGTAGTAGTAGTAGTAGTAGTAGTAGTAGTAGTAGTAGTAGTAGTAGTAGTAGTAGTAGTAGTAGTAGTAGTAGTAGTAGTAGTAGTAGTAGTAGTAGTAGTAGTATTGCATAATGGTGGAATTTTGATCTTTACATGACTTGTATATAAATGAATGGTGTAATGGTCTGTCCTGTCTCTGGGTTCAGTCAAGCAGTAACGGAGGGAAACGGGGTCAGATTTTTGACATTCAAATGTCTCTTATTCAGAAACTAGAGGGACTATTGAAATAAGTAAAGTATCAGAATGTAGGAAAGAGTTACACTCCAACAGGGTCAAGTTAAACCTGTGATATTCTTTCAAGTTGTTGACAAAAAATTTAAAAAACTCATGTCGGTAACGGAGGGAATGAAATATGCAGCACTTTTTGGGCAATAAATCCAAACAGTGATAACTCTTGGTTCTCACTTCCATATCCTTAACAAACTGGTTTGAATATTTGCTTCATATAGTTTTCTACCATATGGTACAAGATTAGGTTGAAAAACCTCTTACTTTTTGATTAATGAGCTTTTTTCTTCCCAATACTTTAATATTACTTCAAAATGAAAGGTAACTATTTATAAAATATGTCAGTCCTTTCAAGCTAATTTTTATAATTTTAAATACATAAAAAAAAAATAAAAAATCATGTACCTTCATCAACAGTTCAAAGATGGAATAACACAAGATATGATGAAATACAAACATTTATTTACATGATTTGCAGGTCTTTGAAATTTGGGAAATAATTTTTGTTCCATGTTTCATACATGGTCTGTTTAAAACGTATGGAACTTTAGAACCAAAAATGGTACAGAAAAAAGGTCAACAGTTTCATAAACTAGAGTACATATGTATCTGTTCAATACATTTTTATATCAGATGCATTAACTTGAATTTTTGGCCTTGTTGTTTACTTCTGTTTGACCGGACCCTCTTCAAGTTTCGCACACAAAATAACTTTTCTCTGAGTTCTAAATGCATCAAAGAGAATTATGTTTGGTCCCAAAATAAACATGGTTGAGTTCTATAAAATGGCCATGAAGGCCTAACGTATCAAATATGATAATTTTTTTATTTATAAAATGATCAAAATGATCATTATTATGTATTTATTTTTAAGTAAAGAGTTAAATATCAAAGAATCTGAATTATTATTTCATGTGTCAGGTTTTATAGGGCTAGGGAAGTTTTTTCTGACACACAGTATGTTGTAGAATACCGTCCTCTTGACTGTCCCCGTCTGTCCTCTGTGTCCAGGCGAGCGAGCTGCAGACTGGCCGTGTGGCCTGGAGCCCCCCGCCCGCCTCTGTCCAAACGGGACCGAGTGCAGAAAGTACTGGATCGGACCCAACTTCGGCATCACCAACTTCGACAACATCCTGTTCGCCGTGCTCACCGTCTTCCAGTGCATCACCATGGAGGGCTGGGTGGACATCCTCTACAGCGTGAGTCCCTCTACTTACTGCACGTCTAGCAAATGTGTGAGCGACAGAGAGGCTGAGGGGGCTGGGTCTGCTGCTGCTGTGATGGATGAGACAAAGAAGGTTGTGGTGGACCGCTGAAGTGGTGTTTTATGAGCATCATGTCTCAGTCATACAAACGCAGCTCTAATCACAGTGAATGAGAAAAAACAACTATGAAAATACAATTAGCCAATTCCTCTGACATACACAGACACAAACAAGACAGTGAAGCTAAGACACTCTCTATATGAAACACACAACCTTTATGGCACAGAAGTATTTAGCACACACACACAGCTGTTGGAAAAGAGTGCATTTTTTGCCTTGCAGTGTTTGTTATTTAGCAAACTTGGAATGAGGGTTTATGATGAAATGTTCAGAAGTTTCTATGGTGATTAGGGCTGTAACAGTACATGTATTCGTGCCGGGACGTTGGGTTCGGTGCAGGGCAGTGCACAAGTGAATTCACGCAATTAGTGTGTGTTTACATTCTGCCACTACATGTGCAGCTACACGGAGGCTCGGCTCTTTAATATTTATGAGGGAACTCGTCCATGATTGGGGCAGTGTTTCCCACAGTGCTTTATAGTTAGGGGGGCCGCCTTGACAACAGTTGCCCCCCGCCTTGACAGAATCCTCACAAACCCCCCCCCCCCCAATACCCGTGACCTCAGTCCCTAATGAAAGTGTATTTTCAACCTCTGGGAACATTGTAACAGCAGCAGATGTGCACTTACTGCAGACACTGTGGACAAGTTGTTTTTTCTACCCAAAAATCTGAAGATTGAGTAAAGTTGATGCTGGAACTGTTAGTGCTGTGCTTTTTTTTTATTTTGTTTTGTTACTGTTTACAAGGAATTTATTTTCATAATATTTCATACATTTGTTTTAAGAATATTTTATTTAACCTATTAGTATTACCAAGCAGCACTTTGCATTTATTTTATTTTCCCATTTGTATAATGTTAAAAAAAAATGCAATTGGTTTTACATTTTGTTCCCAAATTGTACCAAAAATGCACCAAACCGTAACCTTAAAAACCGAGGTACGTACTGAACCATGATTTTTGTACCGTTACACCCCTAGAGGTGACACCACGCACATGTATTTAAACACATTTTCAGGAGCCTCTGATCAGTATATATATAATATATAATATATATATATATATAAATATATATATATATATATATATATATATAAATATATATATATATATATATATATATATATATATATATATATATATATATATATATATATATATATATATATATATATATATATATATTACATACACACACAACTACAAGTATACACTTGCTTGTATGTTGTATGTTGTATGTTCCAAATGTCCAAAAACAGACTGGTTTAAAAGTCTTGTTTATTAGTCTTAGAGTGTATGAGAGTGCAGCATGTTTAGCCTTTGTCATTTGTGCAAATGCAGTGTTGTATTGTCAGTGTGCGCAGACCCTGGAGACGCTGTATTCTTCTCGTCTTTTCTCTCTGCTCCATGTGCTCGTGCGGTTTCCAGTGGAGCAGGTTTTCTTGTGATATAAAGACATTTTTCTTGTGTGGAGCTGCTTGGGTCTGGCTCATTATCCTCCACAGCAGAGCCCCTCACTGGTTTCATCTGTTTTCCACTCCTCTCCCGCATTACCAAACTCTTTCTGATCCCAGGCTTATTTTTACCACTATTTTTGTCGTATATATCTAAAATCCTCCGTTTCTTTGTTACATTTTCTTAGCGTGTTGTCTTCCTGCTGTGGGGTGATTTCATTTCTGTGTTTCTGATGGAAGATTTTTCTACTTTTTGTCATTAGTTTTGTGGTGAAGACAAGGATTTAAACAGCTTTAGTCCAGTTTTACAGCTTGTCTTTCTGACAGTGTGGCTCATTTATCAATCCATTTGTAAGATATTGGAAACTGTGCGTATTATTTCTGCCACAAAACTTTTTATGCAAATGAGAGTGTAGAGAGAGAGAGCAAATGTGTGTGTGTGTGTGTGCGCGTGTGTGTGTGTGTGTGTGTGTGTGTGTAGGCGTGTGTGTGTGTGTGTGTGTGTGTGTGTAGTGTGTGTGTGTGTGTGTGTGTGTGTGTGTGTGTGTGTGTGTGTGTGTGTGTGTGTGTGTGTGTGTGTGTGTGTGTGTGTGTGTAGTGTGTGTGTGTGTGTGTGTGTGTGTGTGTGTGTGTGTGTGTGTGTGTAGTGTGTGTGTGTGTGTGTGTGTGTGTGTGTGTGTGTGTGTGTGTGTGTAGTGTGTGTGTGTGTGTGTGTGTGTGTGTGTGTGTGTGTGTGTGTGTGTGGTGTGTGTAGGTGTGTGTGTGTGTGTGTAGTGTGTGTGTGTGTGTGTGTGTGTGTAGTGTGTGTGTGTGTGTGTGTGTGTAGTGTGTGTGTGTGTGTGTGTAGGTGTGTGGGTGTGGTGTGTAGTGTGTGTGTGTGTGTGTGTGTGTGTGTAGGTGTGTGTGTGTGTGTGTAGTGTGTGTGTGTGTGTGTGTGTGTGTGTGTGTGTGTGTGTGTGTGTGTGTGTGTGTGTGTGTGTGTGTAGGTGTGTGTGTGTGTGTGTGTGTAGTGTGTGTGTGTGTGTGTGTGTGTAGGTGTGTGTGTGTGTGTGTGTGTGTGTGTGTGTGTGTGTGTGTGTGTGTGTGTGTGTGTGTGTGTGTGTGTGTGTGTGTGTGTAGGTGTGTGTGTGTGTGTGTGTGTGTGTGTGTGTGTGTGTAGGTGTGTGTGTGTGTGTGTGTGTGTGTGTGTGTGTGTGTGTGTGTGTAGGTGTGTGGGTGGGTGTAGGCCAAAGAGCCTGTAAGAGCTCTGCTCTGTAGTGAAATAACTGAGGGCTTTGAATTGATAAAGTGAATTTTTGTATTGTTGAAGTACATTGCAGATTGACATTTGGCCCTATTCCAGAACATTCTTGTTTAAAAAAAAAAAAAAAGGAACTTAGCCTTAGAGTTAAGTTACAGTTACAGTTGGTTTATTTAAACATAAAAAAATAAATAAATAATTCAAGGTATGAAGGCACAACATATAGTCTCCATAGTCTCAGAATATCTACTGTATTTTTTTGGATTATAAATCACTCCAGAGTATAAATTGCACCAGGCAAAAAATGAGTAATGAAGAAGAAAAAACATATATAAGTCACTCCTGAGTTGACAAACTGCACTGAGAGTGTTTTCTGGTTGTGTGTTTTGTTTTCTGTTACTGTTTTTCACTGAGATTCTCATTTTTATATCAAACAGGAAACATTAACGCCCTGACAGTGGAAATACATTTCAGTTTTGATTTGATTAGATTTTTTCAGTTGAGATTTACACTGAACACTTTATTTTACTGCTGCTGATCACATGAAGTGTACTTAAGTCAAATTGTAGGAATTGACAAACTGCACTGTGGTGCAGTGGTGCTTTTTTGAGTGATTCTCCAAAGGAAGAAATATAAACATGGACTTTACAGACTCGTGCTCTGCTCCTGGATAAAGAAATGCTGTTTACACAACACATGTGGCACTTTCGTTTATATTTCCAATAAAAAGTTACTATGCAGTACTTTTGAATTCATCAGTGGGTTTCGTGCATAACATGTGATTAATCATGATTAATCACAGGAACTCATGCGATTAATGCAATTAATACTTTTAATTTTTGCCCAGCCCTTGTTATGTTTCCTCATCCAAAATACTTGTATATCTGGAGTTGTATTTGGTTTCATTTACACAATAAAACAAACAAAAAACACTCAAACTGAAAATACTCCACCTTGTGATGTCATGTGGTAATACAGGAAGTGCTCCACTGTGTTTTCACTAGAATCATTGGATCATTTCAGTTCTGGCATTTCCCATCTTTACTGAACTAAAGGTAAAAGGAGCTGTTCACTTGAAACCTACCACTTCATGACATCACAAGGTGGAACTGAGCATTTAGAGCTTTGGAGATGTAGACTAATAATAAAGAGTTACTCAAACGTGTGTGAATGAAACTAACGTAATGTTATAGTATAATTTACAGCTCACCAGAGTCAGGTTGTGTAATACAGGACCTTGAAATCATTCACGTCCAATTGGATTGGGGTAACTCTTTTAGCCCAAAGATCTTTCACCATTTCTGAGCTTTACAATCTAATTCCTCTCTTCACTTTCTGACAGTTTGCGCCCCAGCTTCGGTATTCTAATGATGCGTATTACGGCGCAGGCCTTTCTCCCTCGGGTGCTGTGGGAGAGCAGCTTTGACACTGATCCCCAAAGCCTGCTCTGGTCTTCTGCACAGGGCTGTGAGCGGAGCCGTGAGGTCTGGGGATGTGGGCTCTCTCTCCATGTGCCAATCCTCATTACAAGCCTGCCTGTTTCACCCCCGCCCCCCTCCCATCTCCCCGTACATGTGTGTTTTGCTGTCACGCTCGCAAATGACCCTTAATACATCTCATTAGACCGACTGGCATCCTCCTTTGACTAATCTAAACCGCAGCAGCAGAACCAAGCCTCCACAGACTCTCCATTTCTTCCTCTTCATCACCATTAATGTCTTACTTCTAAGGAAGGATTTTTTAGCAGATAAAGGCTGGCACACACTCTACAGGAGAATTATACCTGATTCAGGCTGCGATTTGCTTCTCCCTGAGTTTGTGGAGGCGTGACCTGACTTTGTGTCTTAGAGCGTGATTGTGAAGTTGCTGTCCTCCTCATGTGTGGTGTCAGCAGTGTTGGGAAGGTTACTTCTAAAATGTATTCCCCTACAGATTACAGATTACATACCCCAAAATGTAGTTTGTAGCATAATCCATTAAATTACTTAAAGTGAGTAATGTAATCTGAATACTTTGGATTACTTGGTTTGCTGTAGAGCAGCAAAGACGAGGATATCGTAACATAAGATGTTTTGTCTGTTAAAAGAAAATAAAAAGCCCAGACTTTACTTTACCAAATTAAAAATATTATAGATAGAAGAGGAGGAGACACAACCGTGTAGCATGGTTTAGTCCCGTTAA